ACTCCAGCAGGGTCACGGCCGCCCGGAGCCCTGCGGGGAAAAGGGGAGATGGGGATGGGAACAGCTCAAACATTGACCCAAATCCTGACTCTTGCCCCCAATACGCAACACATTCTTGTTTTGACGCTCCTTCTGGCCCTCCCAGTGTTGGTCCCACCAGTTTTTCATCTGACCATGCCCATCCCAGGCCTACAGCCAACCCATCCCCTCATCCCCATCTCCCCTTTGTCCCGCAGGGCTCCGGGCGGCCGTGACCCTGCTGGAGTGCGGGGGGGACCTCCAGCCCCCCGGGGGGTCCCTGCGCCTCCTCTGCCGAGGCTCCGGGTTCAGTTTCGGGAGTTACGCCATGCTCTGGATCCGCCAGAGACCCGGGCAGCGGCTGGAACTCATCGCGGGGATCAGGAAAACGGGCGGCAGCACCGCCTATGCTCCGTCAGTGCAGGGCCGGTTCAGGATCTCCAGGGACAACGGGCAGAGCTCGGTGACGCTGACCATGAACAACCTCAAGGACGAGGATTCCGGATCCTATTTCTGCGCCAAATCTGCTGATGCTGGTACTGGTTGGGAGGCTGTTGCCTATGATTTTGACCCCATTCCCGTTACCGTGTCCCCACCTGTCCCCATGTCCCCAGACCCTTCCCCAAACCCCAGCCCTTGTCCCCGTTCCTGTCCCCGTGTCCCAGTCCCGAACTGGTTCCACCCCAAATCTCCACTGGTGGCTCCAAGTCTCCACCCAGGCCACCAAACCTCGGTGCAAATGGTCGAGATTTGGGGACAATGGGGCAGATTTGGGTCTGTAGGGGTCAACAATGAGGTCAAGGGTTAGAGGGAATAATCGGGGATTTGGGGACAGGTGGGGACACATTGATGGGGACATGGCCAGAAAAAGAACCAGCATGAGCTTCCCAACCACCACCATCGTAAGCGTTTTTGGCGCAGAAATAGGATCCGGAATCCTCGTCCTTGAGGCTGTTCATGGTCAGCGTCACCGAGCTCTGCCCGTTGTCCCTGGAGATCCTGAACCGGCCCTTGACCGGCGGCACGTAGCCGGTCCAACCACCATCGTTCCTGATCCACGCGACGAATTCCAGCGCCTGCCCGGGTCTCTGGCGGATCCAGAACATCCAAAAATTCCCGAAATCGAACCCAGACCCTCGGCAGAGGAGGCGCAGGGACCCCCCGGGGGGCTGGAGGTCCCCCCCGCACTCCAGCAGGGTCACGGCCGCCCGGAGCCCTGCGGGGAAAGGGGAGATGGGGATGGGAACAGCTCAAAACAACCCAAAATCCCGATAATTTTCCCCAAATTTTGACATTTTTTGTCATTCTGCTGCCCCTCCCAGGTGGGCCCCGCCCCTTTTTCCAGCTGGCCACGCCCCCTTCATGCGCTCGGCCAATCCGGCGCCTCGTCCCCGTCTCCGCTTTTTTAAATCATTAACAATAATTAATTGTTAATTATTGCAATAATTACTGCAATTAAAGGCAGCCCTTAACGAGCCCCCGGCAGGTGCCGAGAGCTGCAGCTGCAGCCGGGCCCCGAAAGCGAAACCGGGGCCAAATTTGGCTTTTTTGGGGCTTTTTGGGGCCTTTTGGGGATCCCCCGAGGGGCCCAAATTTGGGGCATTTTGGGGTTCTTAGAGGGAACAAAATTTGGGTCCTTTTGGGGCTTTTTGGGGTCTCCCGAGGGGCCCAAATTTGGGGCATTTTGGGGTTCTTAGAGGGAACAAAATTTGGGTCCTTTTGGGGCTTTTTGGGGTCTCCCGAGGGGCCCAAATTTGGGGCATTTTGGGGTTCTTAGAGGGAACAAAATTTGGGTCCTTTTGGGGCTTTTTGGGGTCTCCCGAGGGGCCCAAATTTGGGGCATTTTGGAGATTTTTGAGGTCCCCCGAGGGACCCAAAATTGGGACATTTTGAGGCATTTTGGGGTCCCCTGAGGGGCCCAAATTTGGGGCATTTTGGGGTTCCCAGAGGGAACAAAATTTGGGGCATTTTGGGGCTTTTGGGGATCCCCCCCAAGGGCCCCAAATTTGGGGCATTTTGGGGCTTTTTGGCGTTCCCTAAAAGGCTCAAATTTGGGGCATTTTGGGACATTTTGGGATCCCCCGAGGGGCCCAAATTTGGGGCATTTTGAGGCATTTTGGGGTCTCCCGAGGGGCCCAAATTTGGGGCATTTTGGGGCTTTTTGGGGTCCCTGAGGGGCCCAAATTTGGGGCATTTTGGAGATTTTTGAGGTCCCCCAAGGGACCCAAATTTGGGGCATTTTGGGGCTTTTTGGGATCCCCCGAGGGGCCCAAATTTGGGGCATTTTGGAGATTTTTGAGGTCCCCCAAGGGACCCAAATTTGGGGCATTTTGGGGCTTTTTGGGGTCCCTGAGGGGCCCAAATTTGGGGCATTTTGGAGATTTTTGAGGTCCCCCAAGGGACCCAAATTTGGGGCATTTTGGGGCTTTTTGGGGTCTCCCAAGGGTCCCAAATTTGGGGCATTTTGGGGTTCCCTGAGAGGCTCAAATTTGGGGCATTTTTAGGCATTTTTGGATGCTCCGAGGGGCCCAAATTTGAGGCATTTTGGGGTTCCCAGAGGGAACAAAACTTGGGGCATTTTGGGGCTTTTGGGGATCTCCCCAAGAGACCCAAATTTGGGGCATTTTTAGGTATTTTGGGGTCCCCTGAGGGTCCCAAATTTGGGGAATTTTGGGGTTCCCTGAGAGGCTCAAATGTGGGGCCTTTTGGGGCATTTTTGGGTGTCCCGAGGGGCCCAAATTTGGGGCATTTT